GCATGCTGATCACCCCCGTGCTCGATTACCCCCCTGTGAAAACTCCCAGCCCCGTAGCTCAAATTTTGCAAAAAATCGATAAAATCGATATCGATTGATGACGAAAAGTAGCCTATGACACCCGCCGGAGCCCGTAGTGCATGTGTGCCAACTTTGGTCCTGATCGGTTCAGAAATGGAATTTTCTATTCGGAACATACGGCGGAGCCGGGTAAGCCAGCTAGTTGTATATAAAATGGAAAGAAAACGTTGAAAACACTCTGAAAACACCTCATGAAAGGTTGCCTCCTCCAAGAATCTAGGATAGGAACGCCAAAGGTGGAGAGTGCGTGCAATGTCACACATGGTCATACGAAATGATTCGACTGTATGACCATGCACACTTCACATGAACCGCTCCCACAAATCTCTCTTGCACACGTTGGCGATGTGGATCGATGGGTAGACGACTATATGTCGCCGAAAAGGGGCGGTCCCTCGCGGTCAGTACAAATACGCAGCCTTGCATATGCGCGGAGATGCGTTCCTGCAAGAAATCCGCGTGGGACCCCTCCAAATTCGGCGACATATAGTCCTCCACTCGACCGAAGTTGTTTACTTTGACGGTCTGTCAGTGAAGAAATGCTTCACTGCTGTTATCGTCTATGAACTTGTTGTCCGCGACATTCTAAGTAAAACAAATGAATATAGTATATATAGTCCTCCACCCATGGGTCAATCTCACTTAAATCTCATTGACAAAGTGAACTCAGTCGCACCACGAGAATAAACAATCTTGGCTGATCCTCTTGCCTGCCTGACTCCTTGCACAACTGGTAGGAACTGATACCTTACCCGTAAAAAGTCATAGATCCAGGGATCACCTGCGATGAGCCCGTATCCACCACTTAGTATGCAGTCAATAGACGTCCCAACAACGGCTCTTGGCTGCAAGCAAAAATCTCCAATTGAGATAAATCATGTACCAAAGTGCCAAAATTGAAAAGCAGTCACATGAACCGCAGTCATTTTAATAATGCGATTTGTCATTGCACATACGCCCTAATTTGGCGTTCCCGTGCTGGAATTTTAGAGCAGACATTTCTTAACTGAATTCGACTGCACGAAATCGTCCATTTGCTGTAGGCTCAACATCCGCGAGCGTATTTTGCGCGCGACTAGATCAGTGGCCTACGGGCTGGATTTAACATTGGCGCTTGATAACTCACGCCGTCGGCAGCCGCGCGCGCCACGCTCGCGGAGGTTCAGCCTATAACTACATGGGCGATTTCGTGCTCGACTTTAGCCTCTGTATCATCGGGAATGGCGTTGGCTGGGGCTTTCGCTTTGCATCTCTCCTGCGAGCGTGCTCTATAATCAATTCTGAGGCTTAAAGGCAGCGGCTCGGCAGCGGCGACTCTGAAATATTCATTGTTCTGAGTTCCCGTGGGTAAGCAAAGTCCAAGACTGTGCTTTGCAGCTTTACGAGGAATAACTACCTCCTCGAACGTAAAAAGTGCCGAAGAGCGACTGGCTCTGCAGTCCGGATACAGGGCTTATCAAACGCATTGTCGCTTGCATCAGCATCTTCACCCCCGCGCTAAACTTTGCGCCTCTCCCGCGAACATGTTCTCTGATCACTTTCCCAGGGCGAGCATGGGAAAGGCGGAGCTTCAATCGATTGAAAGTGATGGAAGAGCATGTTTCGGGGAGACGCAGAGTCCAGCGCGGGAGTGGAGATGCTGGTGCAAGCGACACTGCGTTTGACAGGTTCTGTAGATGAGGCGGGAGGCGTGCAAGTGGTACCCGACTGCTGCCGCAGGCAGCCTCCTGAGCTGCCGGCAAAGCCGCTGCAGATGGTACAGCAATTACGCTCGTCGTCAAAAACTCTTGCCGAGAGGTTTCCTCGCACCTCGTCGCTCTAAGGTGCGAAATCAGCCTCAGAAAATCGTGATATCCTCGATATCATTTTGCACAGCAAAAATTTTGTGTTTTTTGAGAAACATGCAAATAAACAAAGGTGAATAGAGGAGCGTTTTTTAAGAAAATGATCACAAAATCAAATCACTTCAAAAACTCGAAAGAAGCAGAAGCTGAGAAATTAGGAATTCTTGAATTTTGGAGATTTTTTTTTCGCTTTCACTTCGAGGAATGGACGAAAACAATTACAGGAAAATATTATGGATATAACGGTAAGAAAACTGTGTCAAAATGGTTATTTCATACATAGTGGTGTTAAGCGAGCTAAATAAGGCAAAGTAGGTCAAACAAACTGAGTAGTTCAATAATAGCCTGATAGTTTAATATCTATATCATTTTGAACAGCAGAGAAAAGCCATATTTCACTGAGACCATACAATCGAATACAAAACTACACCAAAAAATTCCCAAAAATTCTAGCAATTACAGAAGTGCTCATTATTATTTCAGTCATTATTATTTTTTATTTTCTCAAAATATCTGGAGATTACAGTTTGATTGACCTGCTTTGCCTTATTTAGCTCGATTAACACCACTATGCATGAAATAATCATGTTGACAGAGTTTTCTTACCGTTACATGCATGACATTTTCCTGTAATTGTCTCGTTCGTTCTTCACTAAAAGCGAGAATAAAATTCTAGAAATTTGAGAAATTTCTGAACTTTTCAGCACCTGCTACCTTTAAGTATGTGCATCCAAAGGCTATAGACTTGTAGTATATCATCTAAAAAATGTTATTGAGTATATCATCTAGAAAATTTTATTACTCTAAAAAAATCTTTAGGATCTCAAATATTTACAATTAATCATTTACAATTTCATGAAAAAATTGCTATGTTGGAAAAGCTATAGCTGGTTGATAGCATTTGGCCTACATTCATAGCCGCCCCCTTGCTGGCGCAGTTCCGGCTCGGTTCCACTGCCGTGCTGGAATGCCCGAGAGGCACGCCAGTGTGGATGCAGGGGCGATGTTGGCACGGCTTCGAATGGGGCTAGCACGGCGTCGGTAGAGTGGCACCTCTGACTATTACCAATCATTCATCCCTTTAGACTAGGTGTTGTCTAACCCTCCCCCTTTCTGACCCGCAAAACATCATGTAGAAATGTCTTTTAAGTATACCTACGACCTCAAACCTTAGAAAATTTTCAAACCTTTTTTAAAACTTGACCACATCATTTGCTTTGCAACCTGCACTTATTGGCTAAAATCACGCCTCTAAATACCTATTACAGAAGTTAGTATTTGAAACCTTGCTAAAATTGCAGTCACTTCGCAAAGGCGCCATTCTGCTGTCCTTACCTGTCAGTAAGAAAAAAGTTGCGATTTTATATAAGTCCTTATCAGCATTTTTCAGTCAAGATAGTCAAACTGTATGGATTACAAAACAGTAAAAGAATCAACATACAAAGGGGAGGGTGAAAATTGGTTGCGTAAGTGAGTCGTCACACGCAAAGTGTGGACGCGATTGCGTCCTACTTACAGTTAAATAGTGGGAACATGAAAGAGACAGCAGAAGGTAAGAGGAGTGAAAGAGCGCTTGATCAAGGAGATGCCGATGGCGTGGCGACGTCCTATCTTTGTGTGCAATAAATCGCATCTAACTTAGACCCGTAGTGAACCTCGATCAAGGGAGATGATTTCCCCTGAGGCCTTCATATGAGGCTTCGTCAGGTGAAATGAGGACTGCCCGCTTTTTCATGCTGTAAGCATGCAAGGTCACCTCACCTGACAGGTAAGATTCAGATGAAGCTCGGCAGGGAGATCAGCTCCCGACTGATTCATGGGAAGTGAGCCGGGCGATGACATGAGGCCTTATGAGCCCTAAGAATTCACAAAATTAAATCAATCACATTTTGGGCAGCTATGAAATTTTAATGAATTGATAGCAAAGAGTCGTGGTATAACTTACCGCCTACTTCGGTTAGACTGGATTCACAAAGAGGTCCTAGGGTATTTTCTTCATTTTTCATGCATCTACCATCGGATACAACCTCTTTGCAAGTTTTATGTGCCGTGCATCCTTTCTTATTTTTCGGTTTCGGATTCGGTATATAGAGCGGCTCACCAATTTTTGGGCTAAAAAAGCGAGAATAGCAGCAGCTGTAGCAGACAGTTAGGTAATCTTCTTAATTGTGCTAGTCTTTGATAAAAAGTGGATTAAATTTGATAAATAACTTACGCTGATCCGTACACACATGCAATCGTAAAAAAAAGTAGCACTATCATCATTTTTGCAATTCTTGTGCGTACATCCAAAGGCTATAATATATCATCTAAAATTTTTATCACTTCAAAAAAATCTTCGGGAGCTCTCAAATATTTCTCCATTTACAATTTCATGCAAAAAGTGCTATGTTGGAAAAGCTACAGCTGCTTGATAGCATTGGGCCTACACTTAGAGTTGCCCGTGCTGACGCAGTTCCGCAGCTAACGCCTGCCGGAATGCCCGAGAGGCGCGCCTTGTGGATGCGGTGTTGGCACGGATTTGGATGGCGCTAATACAGCGTCGGTACAGTGGCAACTCTGACTATTATCAAGTCATTCTTCCCTCTAAACTAGCCATTATGTAACCCTTCCCCTATCTGACCCGAAAACATCATGTAATGTTGTTTAAAGGCAGCGTCCGGGCAAAATTTCGAGTGGAATTTTTTCGCTTAATTGGGCTTGTTCCTCCCGCTGATTCTGAAAATGCGGCTTGGAGAGCACAAACGCCGAAAACGGGCTTTTCCAGAAGCTTTTGATTTGAATTTTGTCGCCTGCCGCCAAGGTTAAGACAGTTTTTGCGGGACCCTACGTCTTGACTGTGTGCGGTATGCGCACTCTGGCTTATCGGACTAACTCATCCAGGTCGCCGGGGCGTTCCTGTCGCCACTTCTGAAGCGGAATTCTCGCTTCAGAAGCAAATTTGTGCATTACCAGTTGGGCAAGAGCCTTCCCAGGCGGGCGCTTTTGTACTCTATATTTTCGTATCTGCCCGGACGCTGCCTTTGAGTATACCTAGGACTTCAAACAACACCGCCACCTCTCATGCTCATTTTCTTAACGACGTAACATTGGGCATCTCACATTAGCAAAAGCTTCCATGCTTTTATCCTTGTAGATCACATCAGATTCGAGCGGAACGATATTCTTCGTAGCCCATTCTTCAACGGCCACGTTATAATATTCGACAATATCGTCTCCTACAATTTCTCTGACAGTACGGAACCTAAAAGGATCATTTGTGAACGTTCAGAATATTGCAGCCGTTCGTTCCAAACACACTTTCTGAAATTACTGCTCACTCCCAATGGAGAGAGGTCACGAGCTTGTTTACTGCAGTCTTTGGGTATGAAGGCTCCGGCAAGAGCAGCCAAACCGCAGTTATATTTCTGCAATTATTAGCGTTTTCAAAAAAAAGGAAAGAAGAGAAGCAGCAGGAGAATGAAGAGCAAAATACCAATCTTGAAATTTTCAATTTGGTTTTTGTGATGTCCAATGGATAAGCAGAGTTTATAAATGATTCACGTCAAAGAAGGGAACATCACATAATTGAAAATTCAGGAATGATTTTTTCTGCAAGTAGGCGAAGATTTCTTTTAAAAATCATTGCAACTTTTTTCCAAAATTTTCGACTGCTCTTTTTGCATGCACACGACTTTCGGCGCGATCTCAAATCATAGTAAGACAGCTATGTCTCCAAAAATCGATGCAATGATTTACTTAACCTTTTATTCAACAGGCTTGGCGGCTGGAAGGTGGGGCTTTGTGACTAAATTAGGGCCGCTCGCGCCCGCGACGCGGTCTGCGTCTCTGTCGAGCGCGTGCTCTCTGATCATTATCTAACCTTAATTAGGTCACGAAACCCCGCCTTCGAGCCGCCAAGCCACTTGAATCAAATTGTAGTTCATTCCTTTATACCCAGTGCCTAGACAGACCAAGAAGGGTCCGTATCTCAGGCTTGGCCAGCGCCGTTTCAGCGCCGTGATCGCCGTGCTAATGATGTGCTAACACCGCGTCGAAACCCATACAAACGCGCCCTGTTCTGCACTAACACAGCACTGTAACCGCGCTGGCACAGCATTGGAACGGCGCTGGCACATGCAAGTGTGCACGCAGCCTTACCAGCCGCTGTTTGGTATTGCTTGACGTTTAGTGAATCACTTACCAATTTGAACAAACTTTTTGAGCCTGGTATGTCTCCGTATTTCAAGTTTATATTTTTGGTAGCAAAATCTCCTCTCAACTCATTATGGAACTCTGCCACACTGTCTTCAATTTTTTCGTCATAACACTCTCTTGAATTGTTTATTGTGCTCGGTTGACGATGTGCGCATGGGAGAACTGAAGATTTCCAAGCATCTTACCTTGAGTTGGAGATATGTGCTGCGCTATCAGTGCCTGAACACAAACAAGATGCCATTTTATTGAATACCAAAAAAAAGAAACATACCGCGACTATGATTAGCATCTTGAATTCAGAAGTTGACCACGGCTTTTCTGCGTCTGGAACTTTATTTCTGTGCAATTTCTTGCTAAAGGGATCAATCCCAGGTATATAATTATTGCATTATGGTATTTTCAAGCGTGACTGTGCCTCTGTTGAGAACAGCCATCGGTCACCTCTGTTGAGAACAGCCATCGGTTGCCCCTGTTGAGAACAGCAATCGGTTGTCTCTATCGAGGACAACCATCGGTTGTCTCTATCGAGGACAGCCATCGGTTGCCTCACTTGGAGGACAACCATCGGTTGTCTCTATCGAAGACACCATCGGTTGTCTCTATCGAGGACAAATATCGGCTGTCTCTATCGAAGTACTCTGCGTTGATACCACTGCT